AAGCAATTCTGGGATTCTGTCACTTAAAAACCAATAAATCTTTGAAAGCCCAAGGAAAGCAATACAAAAGCAATAAATCTCCATTGTGGAGTATTAGAAAAATAGGCCAAGCTGCTGAGGTGGTTTGGCTGGAGGGACAAGGGTGTGGGAGCCCCACACAGCAACAGTCCTCCCTGCCACACCTCGCCCCCCTGCATACTCAGTTCTACCAGATAGAGTCAGATCCATGGGGCTTCAGAGGAGCAGTAAGTGGCAGAGCAGGGGCTGGAGTTTGGCTTAGCCAGGGTTGGAGCATCGTTGGCAGCAAGAAGAGCCTACCTGAGTGGGGTCTGAAGGCCAAAGTTTCCGTGTGAGTCTATGTGACAACACACAGCTCCACTCAGAGAGGGACTTACTGAAGCTCACAAGTGATAGACCGGGTTCACACAAGGCAGAGCTGGAGGACCCCTGAGAATTCCTCTTGCTCCTCTTGCCCTGGTTGGTGGAGGTTTACTCATAGCACCCCCACAAAAGGGCTACCCAGTCATCATGTGACATACCAGGCAGAGGAACTCAGAACTTCTCAGGGGAGCCGTGAACTCAGAGCCAGGATACTAGGTCTATGCACTGGCTTTACCTGTAACGAGCCCCACAAGCTTGGGCCAATCAGTTAACATCTTAGACTTCAGTTTCCTGCTCCAAAATGGAAATGGTATTTCCCAGCCAGCTGACTCACCAGGTAGGTGAGGATCAGATAATACAATGGAAGTAAAGGAACAATTAACTGTACATGCCAATTCAGAAAACTATCAACTGTAAAATCTGATTTAAAGCATCCTTAACCCAGTGCATCTAGTGAGTTCTTTGAGTCCCAGGATCTTAGAGTGTCCATATTGTTTTCTCACATCCTTCACCTCCTCAACTCACAGAACTGCACACTGCTGTGCTTTCCTGGGTGGTGCTCATCTCACCAGCCAGTCTACTGCTTCTTTCAATCACTACAGTCAATGTACCTGTGGTTTCATGTCATCTTCCAGTGGAACTGCAGAAGCAGCCCAATGCCCCTAGGTTGCAAGAAACATAACCCGAGCACACCAGATGAACCAGGCATGACAAATTGGTGGAACCTAGGTGCTTGGACTAAGGAATGGGGATGGATTAAGAAGTCAACACCACATGGCATGATCCATGATCCAACAGCATCACCTTATGACATGATCCAGTCAGATCGAGCCTCCCACATCACAAAATTGCAAATGTCCAATCAGATCACGCCATTACTTTCTGTCTATCAAACCTGTCCCCGCGTCCAAAAGCCTGACTCCTGCCTAGCAATATACTTTTCTCTCTACAAAAACACAGTGCTTCAGAGTTTGGCTTTCTATTGTGCATGGGCAAACAGACCAAGTTCTGTTCAGTGACACTTTTTTGCTAATTTCATGATTTTGTTTGTGTGTTTGCTTAATGTCCCACCTCCCTGCCTCACTCACTGTTTACTGGAGCCTCAAGAGGACAGAGGTGTGGCTATCTTGTTTCCTGCTGTATACCTATTGGTTAGCTCACTTTCCTAAACATAGTAAGTGTTCAATAAATATTTGTTGCATGACCTAGTGGTCAACTACCTCTCATATAACATCCTACTGCCCAGAGTTCAAGGTGAATGAAGGTCAAGATAACTGAAATCCATTGTGGTATTTCCACTTCTGTCCTTCCAGTTGTCCTGAAAGTCGTGCTGGGTGGCACTGGTTAGTCACTTCCCCTTCTAGTCAAATGCTCAAGAAACAGTCTGGAAATAATTCCAGAAACTGAATATACACCCACCCTCAATGCTCCAGAGCCTTGAGAGGAAAAGCAGCTAGACACTTCCAGACACCAACCATTTCCCCTTTGAGCAGTGACATTTCTGGGTTTTTTTCTTTTTGAAAAAAAAGGTCGCCAAAATATATCATGCATACCTTTCTCCTAGGTGGTAGTATAGTATAGTAAAATGAGTGTTGGCTTTGGGTCATTTGAACTAAGTTTAAATTTTGCCTGTACCACTTGCTTGCTTTATAGCCTGAGTCAACTGACTTAGCTTCTGTTTGTCTCAATTTCTATATTTGCAAAATGAGGAGACTATTATACAATGTTACGAGAATACAGGTAGTGTTATATATAGAGACAAGCTGGTAGCAAGTGCTTGTTCCTTAAATGAAAGCTAGCAGGCTCCTGTAAGTTGCAGACCCATATTTTCAGGGTAAACCAGGACCAAGTAATAAACAGGCATGGCTGTGAGGGATGACAGCATGTAGGCCTACTTGATTTTTGAGTCCCTGTGTCTGTTTTGTAGAGTCATGCTATTCCTTTGCACCCTGACAACTGTCATTTCTCATTGCCACTGGGAACCTTTCATCCCCTTATCCCTCCTCGTAATTTGCTGAATCTTAGGATGTATGAGCTTGTTAAATAGATGTGCAAAGAGTATAGCGATTCAGAGGGAAAGTGTAAGGGCTTCTCTGTGTGGGAACTGGAAAAGTTTTCATGTGCATTTTGGTTTGGGCTACTCAGAGGCCCCCTTTGCAGGGGGTGAAGGAGCTTGGACCCTGGCTGGGGTCAGGAAGTCCTGGATATCAGGCCTGCCTTACTCTTGGTATTTCCATGTTTTGTTCAGCCTATATGAAATAGTCAGTGGCCATACTTTACAGATAAGGAGAGTTGAATCTCAGAGAGAGAGATTAAGCATCTTGTCTGAGGTCACGCAGTTGTTACCACGGGATCTGATACCAGGTTTGTTGCCACCAAACTCTTATTCTTTCCATGGCCCCACCCACAGCCAGAATACTGGGAAGCTGGCCTAAATGCAAACACATTGAAAGGCTATAGGCGACAGCTGGATTGGGTCCCTTAGCTGAACGTTTTATAGGCTTAGTTACCTTGGCACGCTGTATCAAGATCATAGACTTTGGGTCAGATCAGGGCTGTGTTCTGGATTAGCTGTTAACTTGCTGTGCAACCCTGAACAAGCCTCTTCCCTTGTCTGGGCTGTACTTTTGCTATCTGGGAAGCTTTCTAAGATTTTGAAACAGTGACCAATACTATGGTATAAAAGAAGAGAGAATTGTGAAAGGGAGGAAGGCACTGGTGGCCAAAATGGAACACGATTTGACACCTGGGGGACCTGCCTTCAAACTCAGCTTTCCTACTTACTGTCTGTATGCCCTTGGGCATTTCTGTGCCGCAGTTTCTTCATGTGCATCTGAAAATGAGGGTAATATCTCACAGTATCTCGAGAAAATTAAATGACAATGTTAGATCTGAGTAACTGGAAGAAAAGCAGGGGATTCATAACTGAATTTGACTTAAGACCCAACCATCTGCTTTGACTTATCACATGTAGGGTTTCCCTGGAACTACCAATGTGTAAAATATAAGACAAATACTCTCTGGTCAGATGCCCCATAAACATTATCAACACATGTTGCAATGACTAAAGATTCACCTGACTTAGGGGGAACACTGTCCAAAGTCTTCAGACTACATAGGAACTTCCAAATTGGTGGTGGCTGGTTCTGTCTGCTTCAATGCCTATCATTTCTAGATGAAGCTGGATACAGGATGGACAATGGCTATCCAGACCATCTCAAAAGTCCTCTTCTGGGCTGGTGTCCTAGCCTCCAGTGACACAAGGACTGAGGCTGCATCCATTTCTCTAATAGCTGCCCATGCCCTTCAAACAGGCCTGAGCCTCTCACACTCCCATTCTCATCCCAGCACTCCCACCTTAATGTTTATGTTAAAGCAAACAACCGTCCTGGTTGCTCCCTGTTATAGCACGCAATCTCTCTCCTCCAAGCCTGTGCTCACACTGGACACTCTTACAACATTGGTGAAGTCTTACACATCATTTAAGATACAGCTCAGTGTCTCCTCCACTGGGAATTCTCTCCTCTGAGCTCTTATAATGACCTACACATATCTCCACAAGGACACACTGTACTGTAATTATGTTTTTGTCTCCCCAGCTAGAGTCTGACTTTCTTTAGGACATGACTTACCCACGGCTAGTTCACTGCCATATTTTCAAGCACTTAAGACTTGCCTGAGACAGGGTGGATTCTTAATAAAAATATTTGTTGAATGAATGAATGGTTTTTAGGCCTTGGGCCCCGCCTCATTCCTGGTACATAACATACTCAGTTTATGCTTGATGAACTGAACTGAGCAATTTGAAAGTTGTTCCACTCAATGCTTTGCTTCATTTTAAGGGACTGTAGTCCTCCTTCCTGGAGTTCTGGGCAAAACCAACAGTCAATATTGCTGCCCTTGGGCAAAGGGTAGCTTGTTTAAAAGAGATGCCCATGCTCCTGATATCATGAACTGACACTGGTCAGTTTAGCTATGGAGATGCCTCAGTGTATTCCTGAACTCCAACCATCTTTGGTAAAATCAGCAGTTTTACCTTGACAGCAAGTGTCCCTATGGGACTCTAGCCCTCTACAGCCTTAAACTGGACCAGCCCCCAGGTCTTGTCAGATTTGTGATATCTGATCAGGTTGTTTTCAGAATTCAGCAAATCTGTCTATCTGGCTGTTACTGACAGTGACACAAAGAAAGGTAACCTTGCCAGGAGACTGTGTTCCAGGCCACCAACCCCACTAACTAAATTTACCATCTCACTCTATTACCCAGGCTGGAGTGCAGTGGCATGATCACAGCTCACTGTGGTCTCGGTCTTCCAGGCTCAAGCAATCTTTCCACATCATCCTCTCAAGTAGTTGGGACTCCAGGCGTGTGCTACCACATCCAGCTAATTAAAAAATTTTTTTCTTTGTGGAGACGGGGTCTCCCTATGTTGCCCAGGTTTGCCTTGAACTCAAGGGCTCCCTTTGAACTGGGCTTGGGGCTGCTGACCTCCTTTCTCCCAGGAAGTTGTGTTCCTAGCCAGTCTTGCCCATGGGTATTGCCGGTCACATGATTCAACTGGAGGCCCATGTGGCACAGAGAAGGAAAACTACAGACTCCAAGTGAAGAACCGTCCTCACCTGACAGGGGCTCCCCGGGACTGAGCGGGTTTCAGCATCACTGTGATGGTCGTGTCTGTCTCATTCAGTGGGGTGTCTGTGTCGTACTCAGGCATGGATGGAGCTGGACAGGAAACAGAGAGTGCAGGTGAGTTCAGGACAGGTTCCCAACTGGCTCCCCACCGCCCCTTGCTGCCATCCTTAAAGACACAGCATGACCAGAGGGAGGACGTTTAGGAAAGGGGTTGGATAAGAAGCCTTGCAGGCCTTCAGTAAAGGAGGCCCTGATGCCCAACCTGCCCACAGTAGGTTTCTTCAAGGTGCAGTAGTGTAGGGAAGGGTAGCAATGATGTGTCCAGTAACCTACATGAACCAAAACATTTCACACCTAATAAACATGTGGAGGGAATGTAAGTACTAACAAAGAAGTGAAAGCAGAATCAACCCTGCTAAACACATTTAAAATGCAAATTAAATCAATTATGAACTACTTCCTCTCTACCTGTTTTTTAAATTCATGAGACCCCCCCCCTTCCCTCATACTCAGCTGATAGGAATGCAACTATATCTATTCCTTTGGGAAGGTAATTTAGCCATTTGTAGCAACAGCTATTAAAACCCACATCCTTTTTAATTCAGTTTTTCCAAATTCTGAATTTAATTCTAAAGTTATAATCCAAACCAATGAATGAAACTTTATTTTGTAACATGTTTATTGAAGCGTTATTTTGTAAAAACATGGAAGCACCAAATATATCCAACCACAGGGGAATGTATAATTAAATTATGTCCATCCACTTGACAGAACATTATAATGAAAGCAATGTAGCAACATAGGAAATACTTATGGGATAAAGATAAGAGAAAACATTAAGCTACAAAAAAACCATGTTTTTCTGGAAAACCATGTGCAAAATATGTATGTATGCAGACCAGAATTGCATAGATATTTAGGATAATGAAAGCTGTAGAAAAGGTTCTGAAATAATTCTTCATTGTTGCTGTCTAGTGGCAGAGGGGGCCCTACTGGTGATGGCAGTCTGTAATTTTGGACTGCTGTGGCCCTATAATATTTATTCATTCATTCATTCATTCATTCATTCATTCATTCATTCATCAGGCATTTCATGAGAACCTGTGCTGTCTTGTTCTGGCAAAAAGAATGTTCCTGAAATGAATTTAATAACCAACTTGTGCGCAATACACATTATCTACACACACATGTACTATTTAATACAACCCTGTGGGCACATTATTTAGTGGCTTGCCACCTAATTAATCTAATTTTTACACTTTAGGAAGTTCATCACTTAGATTTTCTTCATAGGAGACAACAATGGTAACTCACTAGGGACTGGATCCTCTTAATTCCACCCATATCACAGGGCGACAATTCAAGAAAAATTTCCACTTCAAGGAAAATTAGGAAGTGGGCGTGAAACAACCTTTTTCCCTTTTTCCTTTCTAGCAGAGATACCTGAAATTTTGGTGGCGATCCGAGTGGTGACAGGGGGCCCAAAGCCCTTTGCTGTGCTGGCCTTGATGGTGAAGGAATAGGTGGTCCCTGGATACAGACCCACAAAGAGGTGGTGGGTTTCATTCCGGAGCTTGAACACTTTCCCCCTCTGGCTGGAGAGGTCAGCACTTGGGTCCAGCGAGCCAACAGCCTTGTAGTTGATCTGTAGGACAAGTCAGCAAACAAACAAATCAATGCCTCACTCAGGAAACTGGATGGAGCTCATTTGGAGGAACCTTAGGGAGGTGGGGGAAGGGGCGGGCATGTGAGCTTGGCCAGCAGATTCTGCTAAGCTGCCTGTTGCTGTCCACTTTACAGATGATCCCAGCCTCCAAATACCCCATTGCTCATTCACTGGAGCAATGCATGTTCTCATTGATTTGTGGGAGTTAAAACTTAAAATAATTGAACTCACAGAGATAGAGAGTAGATGGATGGTTATCAGAGGCTGGGAAGGGTAGTAGAGGGTAGAGGGATGGTTAATGGGTAGAAAAAATTGAAAGAATGAATAAGATCTTATATTTGCTAGCACAACAGGGGGTCCATGGTCAAAAATAACTGTACATTTTAAAATAACTAAAAGGGTATAATTGGATTGTTTCTAACAGAGAGGATAATTGCTTGAGGGGATGGACACCCCATTTATCAAGATGTGATTATTACACATTACATGCTTATGTCAAAACACCTCACGTAACCCATAAATACATATACACCTACTACGTACCCACAAAAAAATTTTAAAAAAGAAACAGAGGGTGACCCACAGATGTCATTTTGAATTTTCTAACAGTCTCATGAAAAGAAAAAAAAAAAAAACTTTTAGTAACACATCTTGTTGAACCCAGTGTATCCAAACTATTATGATTTCAATCTGTAGACAACATAAACATTGAATGGAATTGTTTACAATCTACTATTCATATGAAGTCTTACAAACATGTTTTTTACCCCTTCAGTGCATCTTCATTTGGACCAGCCGCTGCTTTTCACAAGTGCAGTAGCCCCATGTAGCCAGTGGCCACCATACTGGACACTGTAGTCATAGAACAGTGTCCAGGTACAGCATCGTGATGAGATTTATGAGGCTTGTTAAAAATGCAGATCCTGGGCCCCATATTCCAGACAGATAGCAATTGCAGACTGGTGCTTCCTCGTGCACTATCTTTTTTGTCTTCCCCAAATCCTTGGGGGCATCAGGATAGCTACTCTCATTTTAATAATGGAGAAACTGAGGTGCCAATGGAAGCAACTTGCATGCAATCCAAATTTTTCAAATTGTATATGGAGACAGTTTGTCTATGATATATGAAGACCATGCCCCATGTGACATGTGAGTTCAGCAATAACTAAACTGGTCTACACCTGTGGAATGATTTGTGTCTACTGTTCCCCGATCATACACTTGAGTGTCACAGCAAGATACCAGAAGAGTTTTGAAGGGCGCACTCTCAATTTCTGCACTTGCTCAAGGGTGAAAATAACTAACAATTGGTAGCCCAGCACTGGTCCCATGGATCACACTTTGAGTGTCACATCTTGAAATTACACAGTTGTAAAGTGGCAAACAAGATTTTTTTGTTTGTCTTGCGTGGTTTGTTCCATTAAAAATATTTTATTTGGCTAGGTGTGGTGGCTCACACCTGAAATCCCAGCACTTTAGGAGGCCAAGGTGGGAGGATTGCTAGAACCAGGAGTTTGAGAACAGTCTGGGCAACACAGTAGGACCCTGTATCTACAAAGTATTAAAAAATTAGCTGGGTTGGTGGTGCACATCTGTAGTCCCAGCTACTCGGGGGCTGAGGTGGGAAGATGGCTTGAGCCCAGGAGTCCAGGGCTATAGTGAGCCATGATTGTACCACTGCACTTTAGCCTGGGTGAGAGAGAGAGACCTTGCCTCTAAAAAATAAAAAATTAATTATGGTATAATACACATACAGAAAAGCATCCCTCTTGATGAATTTTTGAAAACTGGATACAGTCATATAATCAAAAACCAAACCATTACCAGGCCCAAAACTTTTTCCTCACACTCCCTTGCAATCCTACTTGCCTACCCCCATCAGGGATCACCTCTGTCTGACTTTTAACAGCATAGACGAGTTTTGCCAGTTTTTGCGCTGTGTATCAGTGCAATCCTATGAAACGCACATTTTTGTTTCTGGTTTCTTTCTCTCAATGTTATCATTATGTCCGTGGAATTAATCCATGTTGTCACAGGTAGTAGCAAGTAAGGCATTCTCAGGTACATTCAACAATCTCTTGCTGACACTGTAGTAGGCAGGTCTGACTCCAAAGCCTGTACTTTATATTCTATACCACACTGCCTGGCCTGGAGACAGTGCATCAGTTGCAAAATGCATTCACTCATCCACTTACTTGCTCCTTCACAGTGTTTCCTGTGTACACCTGTATTCTAGGTCCTGCACTGTGTGCTGCTGGGGGTGCCCAACTGAATTCAAGTCAGGCCTCATCCCCAAGTGACTTCCGTTCTTGAGAGAGGTAAGCCAGCGATACAGACAGCTGACATCACTCATCTTCTGTCAAGAATGGCCAAACCCAGGCAGAAAAGGAAGCACACCAACTTCCCTTCAAAAATCAGCAATTTGCTGTTACTGGCAATGGCACCATGTATTTTTTGGAAAAAGGTCAGACTGTGCCTAGAGCAGAGTGTGCAGGAGGAAGTAGAAATGCAGGGAGTTGAGGGCTTTGGGCTTTTCTCAGGCAGCACCTGAGCATGCATGTGCACCATGCAGGTGGCTGTTAGCTTCAGGCTGCTCTGGTGGACCTGTCTACAGCGTTCCCTCCAGTCACCCCTGCCCACCCCAGTCCTTCTCAGAGGCAAGTGCTACAGGCATCTATCTGCCTCTCTGCTTGAGGACTTTCTCCATGGGTGCTTGCTGGGAACGGGGGGTAATTAACACCCAGCCCTGATGGGAGTTGATGCATAAATTTTCTAGGCTCCCCTTCCTTATACTCCTGCAAGCTCCCCCTCCTTGGCATCCCTGCAGCATCCCAATTTCCCTGAGAGCCTCAGCTCCACTTGCCTCTAGAGGGAGCTGGTTTGAAAACACAGTGATTATTGGCGACTTTCCTTTCTCTTCCCCACTCCATACCTCTTTACTGGTGTTTCTTATACTTTTCAGCAAACTGCTCATATTCAAATCCTCATCTCAGGGTCTGCATTTGAGAATGACCAAACTAAGGAAAAGTGCTCAGGGAGGTATCTCAGGAGAGAGTACAATGGACGCCCGAGGGACAATCCTGAGTCAGAAGAGGAGTGTTCTAGGTTCTAGGCAGAGGGAACCGTGTGGGCAAAGACCTGGGGTGGGAAAATGTTTGGACGGAGCAAAGCCCAGAGCCACCGCAGAGCGGCAAGCAAACAGGGGCAAATGGAGTTTTCAGTGTGCAGGTGGATTCTGGTTTCCACTGTGGCAGAAAAGGGGAGATGTTCAGAGAGTACAGCCTGTAGCCACCAACCCCAGTGCACCAGTGGAGAGCACATGTGCTTGCATTCTTTGAAAATTCTGTCCCTGTCCCCCTGCATGGACTGGTGGCAACCACATTGATATACAGACACTGGGAGGTAAAACTCATGCCTTATTTACTAGCCAATTCCTTTCCTGCGCTCCAAATTCAATCCAAAAGCAACTCAATTTCCACCGAGCTGTCAATATAATATACCGCGCTCCTCTGCTCTCCTAACCTTTCCTGGTATTACAGGATCCTCACTTACTTGTAATGAAACACTATGAATAAATCAATGTATGTTAATATAGCATGTCTTCAATTTTTTATGAAGGGCTTCACCAAATCTAATTCCCACTGCTTTGTCAGAAACAGTCTTTGAAAAATTTAACTTGCAAGTTTTATGAAGTTAGTGGGGGATCGGGCTGGGGAGGGAAAGAAGGTGAGAAAAATGGGATGGGAGGGAGCTGTGGCTGTAAACGTATAATACAATATGAACCTTCATTTGTAAGTGGGGAAAACGAAAGATTTGTTAGAATAGCAAACATAAAATAAAGGGTTAGTAGGGGGAAGGGTGCACGGCTGCAATCAACCCTGGGCTCCTGGCATGGGTTCTGGCTGCAAAAGGTACTCAAGGATGTCCCCCTTCTCTTTCAGTTACTGATAGTAGGATCCCCAGCCAGAAATCAAAGCAGGTGCTTCATAACAAAAATCCAAGGCTGGGTGTGGTGGCTCACACCTGTAATCCCAGCACTTTGGGAGGCTGAAGCAAGTGGATCACTTGAGGTCAGGAGTTGGAGACCAGCCTGACCAACATGGAGAAACCCCATCTCTACTAAAAATACGAAAAAAAAATTATCCAGGTGTGATGGTGCATGCCTGTAATCCCAGGTACTCGGGGGCCTGAGGCAGGAGAATTGCTTGAACCTGGGAGGCAGAAGTAGCGGTGAGCCAAGATGGCACCATTGCACTCCAGCCTGGGCAACAAGAGTGAAAATCCCTCTCAAAAACAACAACAACAACAACAACCAATCATGTCATAAGAACAACGGTTTCCCATAGCTCTCAGGACGAAGAGTTTGTCTTTGTCATGTGGTCTTAAACAGCTCAGTGCATGAGCTGACCTCTCTTGTCCTCCCCCCAGCACCCCAAGCCTTACTTCAGTACCTAAAAAGAGCTACGGTCTTTTCTGCCACAGGACCTTGCACCAGCTCTTCTATCAGCTTGGGCCTCTTACTCCTTCCCATGCCTCCTTTTTGCCTCATTCATGACTCCTCACCCTTAGTGAACCTCACTTACAGGGACTCTTTTTATGGGTATCTTCTCTGACTCTCAGGTTCTCTTATTTTATGTTTCCAGAGTCATCTATCTCTCCTTTGAGCCACTAACTTTCCATGTAACCATGTAATTATTTCATCAATAAGTCCCTTTTCTACCAGCCCAGGAGCTGAAAAAATATGACTTGCAAGTCAAATTCAATCTACCGTCTGTTTTTGTAAGTAAAGTTTTATTGGAAAACAGCTACACCATTGATTTAAATATGGACTACGGCTACTTTCACACTACAAAAGCAGAGCAATGTAGCAACACATACCCTATAGCCCACGCTGCCTAAAGTATTTATTCTCTGGCCCTTATAGAAAAAGTTTGCAGACCTCTATACTAGATTTGAAGCTCCAAGGAGGCAAAAATCGT